TCCTAATCTGATATGCACTTCTACAGCTGCGAAACATGGAAAATGTTGTGAATCTGACTGAGCCCCTTAGGAAGGTCCAACCCTGGAGATGACTCGAAATGGACCAATATACTGGGGACCCACTTTCCTCCTCTTCCTGAAGTGTATCACACATTTCCATTGTGAGACCTTCAGTAACACCAAGTCTCCGACCTGAAACTCCAACTCAGATTGGCGCCGTTCGACATAACTCTTATGTGGACTCTGAGCAATCTGCAATCTCTTTCAGATTTGTTGAATCGTCTCTGTGGTCTAAAGGACCACTTTGGTCCACTCCATAACTCTGTGACCAACCTCGCCTTAGAAAACAGGGGTACGTCATGTTCGCCCATACAAGAGCTCAAAAGGCGGAGCACCAATGTTGGAGTGATAACTGTTGTTGTAGAAGAACTCTACAAGAGGTAAGTAGGAGTCCCAACTCCTACCAAAATCAATAACACAAGCATGTAACATATCCTCAATGGTCTATATTGTCTGGTCACTCTAGCCATCGGTCTACAGATGATAAGTTATGCTGAAGTGTAATCTCATGCCCAGTTCCTCATGGAACTTCTACCAGAAACAGGAGGTGAACCAAACATCATAGTCAAAAATAATGGAGACCAGAACCCCATGGTGAGCAGTGATCTCGTGAACATACACATCAGCTAACTGCTCGGCCAAAGAACTCTGCCAAATCGCCAGAAAATGGGCACTCTTGGTCAATCGATCCACAATGACCTGTTTAGTATCAAAACCCTTTATCGTCTTCAGCAACATGGTGATGAAATCCATTGAAATCTACTCTCATTTCCACATGGGAACCTCCAAAGGCTGCAACTTGACATGTGGCCTCTAATGCTTTAACTTGTACTATCCTGTAGGTCATATATCTCTCCACATACCATGCTATCTCCTTATTCATACACGACCACCAATAGCTCAATCTCACATCCCAGTACATCTTGGTGGCCCTCGAATGGATAGAAAAACAAGACTTATTCATACAGAACACCCTCAGCCTAAGCCTCCCCAATCAATCCCAAAAGTGAGGAATCCACTGATATCCTCACACATGATACCCCATCTGATGACCCAACCGACTAGCGGCTCAAGGCATCCACCACTACTTTAGCTTTATTTTGATGGTAAAGGATCTCACAGTCAGAATCCTTAACTACGTTCAGCCACATGCGCTGCCTCATGTTCAGGTTCGATTGATCCATAATATGCCTCAGAGTCTTGTTATTCGTGTAGATAGTACAATAGACCCTATAAAGATAGTGCCTCTAAATCTTGAAGGAAAAATACACTACCGCCAACTCCAGATCATGTGTGGGATATTGTGTCTCGTGTGGATTCAGTTGCGGTGAAGCATAAGCTATCACCCATCCTCACTGCATGAGGCCCTCCCTCAAACAAGTGATGGATGTTTTTAAACCCCTTCAAAACTTATAGCTATAAGTCTTGAATGTTCAAACTATTTCTTTCCATTTCTCACAATTCGAACTATGAAAAGGGATGTCAGCTCTAACCGCCACATATCCAACCAAAAGATCACTTCTCAAACACCATCTAAAATCCCCAAAATGCCCCTCATTCAAACTTGGTAAAAAAGTCAATGGTTAATGAAAGTCAACAATTATCAGACCTTCATGACAGTCACATTGATATGTGAATACTCCAATAGGTTGTAAAGTGCTAAAGTTCAATCTTAAAACTAAACACATAAACCATGTTCAGAATATCAAAGCTGATGGGTATGTAGAATGCTAACTTGTATCACTATACCTTTATTTAGAAATATTATTATCACTTGTCAAGATCTAGGCTAACCAGTTAGGTTATATCACTAGCCACTCTAGGAGTAATCCACCCTCTAATGAATCATTGCTCCCTTTTTCCCACTGCCCAGCCACCACGAACACCTCCATCTTTTTCTTTTTCTATTTTAATTGCCAAATACCCTCCTTCCATTGTTGCATCACTAAATTCCATAAAATCCTCAATTCCCTCTGGGAGGGTCAAAATAGCGGCCTCACATAATCTGTGCCGAAGGGTCTCAAATGTTGATTGCTTGTTCGGGACCCATCGGAAATCCACCCCCTTCATCGTCATACGGATGATGGGTACTGCTATCTTGGAGAAATCCAAAATGAATCCTTGATAGTACCCTGCCAAACCCAAGAAACTCATGATATCCGAGGGAGATTTCGGAACCTCCCACTACATTACGACCTCGACCTAGGCACAACCTACCAATATACCATTCTAGTTAACAAGGTGTCCAAGGAATTGAGCCTCTCATAACCAAAACTTGCACTTTTGAGAACTAAGGATAAAACCAATCTAGCCTCAAAACTCCCAGAAGCTCACGAAGGTGCTCCTCATGCTACTCTCTAGTCGTCGAATACACTAAGATATATCAATGAACACAATAATCGAACGATCGAGAATCGAACTGCATACTTGATTAAACAAATCCATGAATATTGTAGGCGCATTGGTGAGCATAAATGGCATCACCACAAAATTATAATGCCCATAACAATTCTAGAGTGCGGTTTTCTCCATGCCCACCTCTCTCACCTAGACCTGATGATTCCCAGACCTCATATCTATCTTGGAGAACCAAGATGCACCTTGCAAATGATCAAAGAGGTCATCAATCCGCGGAAGGGGATAACAATTCTTCACCCTTAACTTTTTCAACTCCTGTTAATCAATGAACATCCAGTGTGAAGCATCCTTCTTCTTGACAAAAGAACCAGTGCTCCGCACGGTGAACTGCTCGGTCTGATGAATTGTTTTCCTAACAACTCCTGTAGTTGAGATGAAAAGTTATGTATCTCAGGCTGTGCCAAGAAGTACGACGCCTTGGCAATCGGGGCCGCACCTGGCACAAGGTCAATCCTAAACTCAATATGCATCTCAGGAGGTACACCGGGTAACTCCTCCAGAAATACATCTACAAACCCTCTGACAAATGGAACCTCTAGAACTAAAATATGATCACCAACATGCATATAGACCACATAATCCAAGTAACTCGCACACCCATGTTGAATATACTGTTGAGCCCTAGCTGCAAAACAATACCCTAAACCCATCGTGGTGCCCTCTCCATAGATAACCAGTTCTCCCTCAGTTGGGGTTCGAACTACCATGGGTTAGTCCGTACAATCAATAATCGCACCGAACTGGCTTAGCCAATACATACCCATAATAACACAAACATCCCCCAGAGGGATAGGGATCAAATCGATCGGATAAGGCACCCCGATGATCTCCAGAACACAACCATGATACAATGATGATGTAGAAATCATGTGTTCATTAGCGATAGAAACTCACAAAGAACACTCTAAATCCCCAATAGGCATATCAAACTTTCTACTGAATGATCGAGATACAAAGGATAGAATTGCACCCGAGTTAAACAATGCTAGAGTAGGAAAAGAGTTCAATAGGAACGTACCTAACAGAGGCACACAGATAAGCATAATATAAAGCATAATCAACATAATAGTGGATAGAAACATACCAGTCACAACATCTGGAACTGCTATTGCCTCCTCGACTGTGAGCTAGAAAGCGCCACTTCGAGCCCTCGAGGGTTCCACCCTGACCTAACTCCGATCAGTGATCCTCAAAGTAGTCGGTGTTATAGCCTGCGTCGGCCTAGCAGCAGGCGAAGGAAAGTTGGTCTTCACATGGCTAACTTGGTCGCAATGATAGAAAATCCTAGAACTGAGTGTTGGGGACTATTGGTGGCAAGCCCTCACCATATGGTCCCGCTGGCCACCATTGTGGCACCCAAAAGATGATCGGCAAGCACCCTCATGCACCTTGCCATACTTTTCACAAGTTCAGCCTTTTTGGACACTAGATATGACATCAATGGTCTTAAACCATTTTGGCACAAGTTGCGAATGCATCAGGGCCGGTCTCTGTTCTGTAACAAACACACATTCTGAAGAAACTAAACTTTAATAATATACATTTGACAAAACAAAATAATAGACGTAACAATCTACCCCTTTGTATCAAATCGAAGGAGTGTCTTCATTGTTGCTTTTGCGCTTCAAACATCTTGGGCATTATTTCCAGAACAGATGTTGTGACAGCATGATACGACTGAATCATATCTGACACACACCAGAAGCTGCATTGGTCTTGTTCACTTTAGCCCTTGCCATAATTTGATTCAAAGCACTTGTAGAATACAAGTGTTTGTCCCTTAAAAAGAACATGTAATTTTTAAGAACGTCATCCTCCTTCTACTTATACACAATGCTCCAATATTTCTTGTCGATCAATCCACCTAGAAAATATTGGATGTCCTCAATTTCTTCAGGTGGCTTCACTATAGGTCTTTTCTTCAAAACCGTGGCGATCTCAATATCCATCATCGCAATCCACATGATGTAGCGTTTAATCATCCTCTTCTGATGATTGAAAATAGGCTCGTAGTTATTCACATCCTTCGTAACTATGTTGAATAACGAAATCCAATCATATGGATTCATGAAAGGCAAATCAACCAAAGTAAACTCATGAAGAACATGATTCGAAGCCCTAAATCCTTTGAAGTGAATGTTCGGAAAATCTTCAGTTTCCACAAGTAATCCGACCTTCAAACCTGCGATCCTCTTTACACACTAAGACTTATATTGAGGCTTCCCATACTTGAGATAAAAGTTGATGAGTTTTTTGTTGATTGTGTTGTTAGATATCAGAGACTTCTCAATTTTCACGAAGCATCTGAAAAGAAACACTCGAGGGGCGAGAGAAAAGTATAACTGGCATTTGATATCATTATAGGTGTGAAATGACGTCTTCGGTTCCAACCAATACAACTTCGGAAGATCAATGGCTTCCTTATGAATTCGCTGAGTAGTCCAAGAAGGAAACAAGGAATTATGATTTTCCAAAATAAAAGCATAGTTTTTAACTTTTGCATCTTCTGCATGCATCTTTTGTCAGAGAGCATTGAGCTCATCAAGCTCTTTATCCCATAACTTTCTTTCAGCCTTTTCCACTCCAGTCATATTTTCTTCATATTCTTCTTCAGAAATGGCTTTGCCTTTTTTCCTTGATCCACAAGATTCATTACCCTTGTGATCAATATCTTCTTTCTTATTAACCTCCTCTTCTCCTATTTGTTTTGAAGGAGAACTGCTTCCTAGAACACCAATGATTTTATTCAGCAAAGCAAACGTTGGCTTGAGTTTTTTAGATAGAGCAAGGCGAACTGTATCATTGAATGGAAGAGCTCTGGTCTCCATGATTCTCAACAGTTGTTGATGAATTTCTAAATTGTGGGCCTTGACAGAGAACTTCTTCTATTGTAGCCTAGCGACCTTAGATTTAGCATTCTTCAATTTTTTAGTTAAAGCTTTTGCTTTTTGAGTTTGCTCCGCTAAGACAACCATTATTTTATTTTCTGCTGCCAAGTGAACCTTTAATATATCAAGCTGGGTGGTGATAGTTGAGTTCAGGTCGACGTTGTCAAGCTTGATATCAGCTTGAATTTTTGAAGGAGCTTTTTTCTCATGTTTCAAAGAACTAAAACCTTTAATAACCTTATTCATAAATTCTGTGCTCTTGTCCGAAGAGGTCCTAAAATTGGCCATGAATTCTTTTACTTCGGTTTGTAATAGTAGAACCTTGTCCATATGTTCAAAAAATTTATTGTTTGAGGCTTGAGTAGCCTTGGTGGATTCTTCAATGACTTTGGTGCTTGCAGATGTAAGCATCTCCACAGTTGATCGATGAGTAGTCAGAAGATTTTCCCACTTAGATGAAGGGAAGGCTTGAGATTAATCTAAGAGTGAGTCAAACTTTTCTGTTAACCGCTTGAACTGTCCCTTTGTTATTGGACCTTCGTCTTCATGACAATTGATGTTGAGATTGAAAGGCTATAAAATGAAGTCCTCGATAGGTTCTTCTTCATCTCTAAACAATATATCTTCATTCTAATTGAAAAGTGAAGTAGTTGATGTGCCTGATTCAGAAGTCGCACTGATATTGGCATTTGTCCCCATATCGGATATGTTGACAGAGATGTATTAAGTGTGTATCTTCTCTGAAATGGATTTGAATACATGTACTTTTGGTGGAGTTGTGACTGATGAAGTAGTGGGATTGGTTGAATTAGTAAAGATACGTGAGGATAAAGGGATAGAGATATGAGGAAGACACATTCCAATAGAACTCGTTGGTGGTAGAGGGGGGATGGATGATATTGGTATTGTAGAAGAAATAGGTGAGCATGTCATGGGTAACATTTGTGGAGTAAGAGGTGATGATAGTAGAGCAGCAGTGAGGTTTAGAAAAGGTTCTTTCAGAATGTTGCAAAAAATATCACAATTGGAATGGACAAAGTCGCAGGAGAAGATACCTTCAGAATATTGTTTGTAAGGATGGCTTTCAAAGTTTTAGCTATACCCTCTTCCTCATTTCAAAGTGTATTATTTGCTTGCTTGAACTTCAATAACAATGCTTTCTTCCGATTCTTCTTGAAATAATGGAGATGGAGATCTCGCTTTCTTAGTAAGCTTCATAGATTTCGTCGGAACTCTGACACTTTCGGAAGGAGCAGCTTTTTCCTTACTTTTAACTTCATGCTTTGGTTTATTGCTTTCATCAATCAAATTCCTAAGTTCAGCAGTAATTGGTTGAACACCAGAAGAGGGTAACTTCCGATACTACCTCACAATGGCATTGTCAAGTGGAACATTTTCCAACATTTAGACCAGAATTGAACCAAGAAAACTGAAATTTATAGGATCCGACATCACAAATGTAGACATTTGAAGTGTCTGAATGTCTGCCATTCAAGAATCTTGCAATAAAGGGACTTTGAAATGATATAGGGCTCGGTTGACCACTATTGACCAGAATCAGGCACAAGAGATTTCACTGTGGCGAGAAGAGGAAATGGTGCATTAAACCAGTTGAGAATATAACATCCCCGAAGTCACGATTGATACCATGGTATAAGCCATAGATTTAAGTGTAGAACATATTGCTCGCACTATTAGACCTAGAAACCCTCTCAGACAGACTCATGAACAACAAAGTGAATAAACCATTCCACATTGGGGGTAAGAAAAACTTCCTAAAATTTGAGAGCAAGGAGATTTCACTGGTGTAGGCCATCTGGTAGAACATCTATCATGGAGGTAGCTGGAATCGGTTTAGGTTCGACACTGACCTCTGGTGTAGAGAGTCATAGAAGTTTGTAGAAGTGGGGCTTAGAGATCGATTTTTTGTGGTTGCGACTTCAAAGTTGATAAAATCAAGAACTAGTTGTTTCGGAAGTGTCGTTCCAACTTCCATCTATGTAGGAATCCATCCTGAATTGAAGTCGGACTTGTTAAAATCACAAGGATTTTAGTGCTAGAGTGTGCCAAAGAAAAAGAAATAAATAAAATAATATGTGGAATTATGTGATATGAAAGAATGTTGATATGAAAAACCGATTAATCATGAGAAACGATCTCTTCCTTCTAATTCAAGAAAGACTCTGAAGTGCTTGTGTGGCTTCTCGTTGAATTACGATCAACGTTTTGTTGAGAAACTGTGAAAGGCTTCTTTTATTGAGGCTTATATGGGTGGTTTCATCTTAAATCAGATTCTGAAACTTAACATAAATTCGAAGAGACCTATTAGAAGTAGTTTTTTGACTAGTGTTTCCATTAAACAAGTAAGATTGGGATATTCTTTTAGTTATGGAAATCTAAAAACAAATAAAAAATGGTTCTTATTGGGAAGAAATGTCTTAGGTTGAGAGCATTTCATTAAGATCACTCAAAAAGAAAAATGAGATTTCAAACACTTAAAGGTAAAAACCAAAAGGTTTTTTTTTGTCAATTCATTGGGTAAATGCCTAGAACAAAACAATGTTCACCGTCAATTCAGAAATGGTGTTTGGAGTTTTGGGTCTCACTCAAAATCACGTTGATAACAATTTCAAGATCATAAACAAAAATGTTTTGTAACCTAAACCTTAGTGGTTAAAGATGAGAGTCGTAAGGGTCACGATACAGAATAACAGATTGGTAGTAGAACGGTTGGAAGTTTCACGAGAATCATGTTGATAACAATTTTGCGATCATTAACAAGAGTTTTGTAGCCCTATACCGAAACTGGTTTTGTTCCAATAATCCAGCGACTAGGTGGAGGTTGGGATAAGATATGGTTGAAAGAAATGATAAAGTCGACCATCAATTTCTAATTGCTGACTAAAATTCACTTGTGAATTTACCATCAAGACTTAGAAAATAAAGTGTTTTTGGTGTTTTTAAATTTTCAAAACACAAAAAACAATATTTTTGAGATTTTTGACTTTTTGAAAAGAAAATACGGAAATAATTAAAATATTATTGTACTTTTGACTTTCAGAAAAGAACAAAGATAAATAATAACTTCCGAATGAAAACAAAAAAATAAACAAAATAAATTAAGAAAATTTCCTCAGATTAACAATCTCCTTTTTGATATTTCTACATATAATTATAATCAAACGTAACGTAGTAGGTTTCCTCAAGTTTCTTTGACTTCTTGTTCGGAACTCGATATGCATTTGATGTCACTGAATACCCCAGAAAAAGTCATTTGTCAGCTTTGTCGTCGAATTTATTCTGACTTTCTTTGGAATTGAATAAGAAGCAACTGGAACCAAACACATGAAATAATTTAACGTTAGGTTTCTGATTGTTCAGAATTTCATATGCAGTAAGCAGAAATCATTTGTTGATATAGGAGTGGCTCTGAGTTAAACAAACGGTGGCAATGGCATTAACCTAAATTGTTCCGATTGTTCAGAATTTCATATACAGTAATCAGAAAGCATTGTCCTTGCAGCTTCACAAAGAGAGCGATTTCCTCTTTCAACTACATTGTTTTGTTGTGGAGTGTAAGGCGAAGATAAATTGTGAGAAATCCCTTTGCCGGTCAAGAATTCCTTAAACACATTATTTTTGAATTCCGAAGCGTTATCACTACGAATGAAATGTATCAGCTTCTAAGTTGCATCAGATTTATTTCTAAGCAATAATACCTAGGTAACTCTAGGAAAATTATCGACAATAACCAAAATATATTTGTTACCACCAATACTCTCGATGGCTAAAGGACCATAGAGATTAGTGTGCAATACTTGTAGTGGTTCAATGATTTTGGTATTTATAATGGATGAATGACTTTTCCTACTTTGTTTCTGAGCTCACAGACAACACATAGCTATTCCTTTTCAAAATTCAGAAGAGGTAGCCTGCGTACAAGATCACCAATTACGAGCTTGTTGATATCCTTGAAATTTAAATAAGAAGGCCTTTTATGCCACAACCATCTATCATCCAAAGAGGCTTTTGTAAGCAAGCATATAGAATGTTTTCCTTGGATCATATTTAGATTCAGGGGATACATCTCTCCTTTCCTTCTAGACTTCAGAAGAACAACTTTAGATTTCTTTTCTATGATTTATGAACCTTCTTCATCAAAAGACACTTTTAAATGTATACCTACAACCAATTGAGAAACAATAATTAGATTGTGTTATAGGCCTTTATCATAAGCTACTTTCCGAATTGTGAATTCGCCATTTGTGATCATGCCATATCATTTTATCTCTCCAGTGGCATTGTTTGCATACTTAACTTTTCTATCACCCTTTAAAGTTTGAAACTCTCGTAAATCCTGTTTTCTTCCTGTCATGTGACGAGAACAGTCGTTATCAATGTACCATTCTAAATCATACTATTCGTCACGCATAACCTGCAAAATTTAGAGAGTTTTAGGAACCCAAACCAACTTGGGTTCTTGTGAGGATTTCTTTTGAACGGGAAATTTTATGTTTTGTCAGCCCAAAATGATTTTCTTTTTAAAGCACGGTTCATCCTTTTATCTATTTTAAAAACTTCAACTTTGTTATCACAAAGATTAATTTCAACAAAATCAATTTTTCTTTGAATATATTCTATGAATTTCGGACCCATTCTTTTTGAAATTCTTTTTCCTCCTTTTTCAATTTTGCTTCGTATTCTTTGAGAGTAACTTCTGGTTCCAAAGCAATTTTGTTTTCAACCTTAAAATATTTTGGTTTAGTAATTGGTTTCAAAACCCGTGACTTTTCTAAACAACTTTGACTGGAAGAACAACTTAAATTTTGTTTTGGAATTTGAGATGAATCTTTATATTGATTAGAAAATCATAACTTATTGACAAAAATCTGATTGGAATTCATTTTCATCCAACATCGATTTCTTTCACTCAAATTCTTTTTATATCTAGCATTCAACTATATTTTCTTTGCGATTAATCCCTTAACAGATTTATGAATGTTAGCTTTTGGTTTTTCCTTTTAATTGATGTTTCATTTTTTTCTGATGAAGTTTCACTAGAAACATCTTTTGTACCACTTGGTCCTGCCTTATCATAACAAAATTTCACACGATTCAATGGTTCTGAAACGTGTTTCCCGTTTTCTTCCAATACGTCATTTCTAAAACACCTTTTGTTTCATCTGTGTTGTCTATGGGCTTTGACCAGAGGAATTCATCACACCCATTTGCATTATCATCAGCTACCAATGATGTTAATTCGGAATATGATTTTTGTTTAGTCCTTTCTTAACAAGAACTTGATTCAGAACAATTTGAAATTTAGGAAAAACAATTGCTTTTTCTTTCAAAATCTTTGAGCCTTTATTTTTAATCATTCGAATAAATCCGATTGATTTTTCAGCAATTAA